AGGCTGGAGTGCAGCGGCACGTTCCCGGCCACTACTGCCTCAACCTACTGGGCTCTGGTGGTCCTTCCATCTCAGCCTTCCAAGTAGCTGGAACTACAGGAGTGCGCTACCACGCCTGGCAAATTTTTGATTTATTGTAAAGACGAAGTCTCGCCAAGTTGCCCAGGCGGGTCTCGAACCTGTGGGCTCAGGCAATCCATTTGCCTCGGCCTCCCGAAGTGCTGGGATTACAGGCTGAGCCACCGAGCCCGGCTGGCTTTTTTTTTTTTTTTTTTATTTTGTAGAGATCAGGTCTCGCCAAGTTGCCCAGACTGGTCTCAATCTCCTAGGCTCAAGCGATCCTCTCACCTTGGCCTCCCAAAGTGCTGGAATTACAGATATGAGTCACCAGACCCGGCCTTCAGACAGGAGTTCAAAGTTGAGGCTGCTGGGGCAGGTGGGAGGCTGTTGCAATGTCTTAGATGGGAGAAAGGGGACCTGGGTTAGGGAGTGCCTACAAGAATGGAAAGTAGGGAAAGGCTTTGAGACACCATATGCAAAGAATACCCTCAGAACCCCAGAATCACAGATGCTATCAGGCTAGATAAGCAAATATCATTGAGGCCGTGTGGGTGAAGGAAAAAAAATGGCTGATTCCAAGACTGTATGGGATGCTTGTGTGACATCAGCAGTATCTTCTAAGAAACCATGAGTGGTATCTCAAGCAAAGTCAAGCCAGGTCTTGTTTTGTAGATAACAGCATGCCCCGGGTCCCAAAGACATCTCATTTGGGCAAGAGTCTTCTGCTAAACCTATCAAATATTTTCTTCTTCCAGGTACATTTGAGTGAATTTCTATTTATGTACTAAGTGTGCTGTCGAATACGTGTGCTGACACTTAGATGTTGACACTGACCACAAAATATTCTTTTACAACCTGTACTTTCTTAGTATAGGTGCCTGAAGCTGGTGTGAAAATATGCTTCCTGTCTTCCTTGGACTTAAAAGCATACATATTATATAAAAATATTTTTAGAGACTCCAGGGATCTGTAATGCGCGGGCGAGTATATTCGACATGCATGAACAAGAACACAATTCAGGATACCAGCAATGGGTCGGAGAGTGCTTTGCAGAGTCAGTCTGGTGTTCCATACTGATCACTATCATGGAGAAGTCCAAGGTCTAATTAATCCTGCCTAGATAGAACTAAAATCAAAATCCACCAGAGCTAAGGTTATTTCAATTTCAATACAGCATGCACGTGTTGGAAAAGCTCAGCAAATACCTGCATCTAATCTGCTTTGCACAGCAGGAGTATCTATAAAGGTTATGGATTGACTTTTCAGCAGATATAAAGCTTTTGTTTTACAGCGAATCCTATGCATCAGTAAACATATTTTAACTTTTAAAAAAATTGTTGTCTTCTAATAAGATCAGGAATTTCAGAGTGCTCAGTAAACGGGAGACTGCAAACCTAGAGTTATAAGTTAGGTTTTCTTGGGATTTTGTGGTGTGTGTGTGTGTGTGTGTGTATACACGGGCATGCGTGTTGTGGACAAGCATATTGATTCCCTATCTAAGAGCTGCTTCTTGGAACTCGAGACATAGACACCACACAAGGTCTGTCTGTTCAGCGTGTGGTCCATGAACCAACAGCATCAGTATGACCTGGGAGCTTGTTGAAAATGCAGGATCTTAGGCCCCATCTCAGACCCACTGAAGCAGAATCTGCATTTTAACAAGATCCCCAGGTCATTTGTGTGCACACTGAAGTCTGAGAAACATTGACATAAGGGACCCATTCAGTCAATGCACTATGGAAAGTTAAGTGACAACAAGACCCCAGCAAGCCAGAGCTGGATCAGTTTTAGCTGAACTTCTGGATTTCTCTAAAGTCAGGTGTTTTCAGTGGCCTCATATCATTATTGCTTTGCTTGATTTCCAACTAGAATTTCTTTGACAAAGTTGTCACCATCTGATAATTTTTCTCCTGGCAGATCATGAAGATGGGATTCTTCCCAGATGGTTATTTTTTTTCTATGCGTACATATTTTGTCTTCTTAGTTCCCTTGTAGGATTGTTGAAAGCAAGGACACGTCAGTCTTTCTAGAATAGTCCTCTAGACTAGTAGACCATTCTAGTCCTTTATTTAGAATTTTCTACTTTAGAGTGGTTTAAGATTGACCAGCCCACCTAACATTTCTCAGCCTTTTGAAACTCATGGTTCATTTTGAAGAAAGGAAGAACTCATGTGCTACAGTTCAGTGAAAAAAGCAAGCTACAAAAGACATTTATAGTATGCTATGCTTCATGTAATAAAGAAGAGGATATAAGAAAATACCCAGGTGTCTTCTCACTTGTATAAAGAAATACAGAAAAGATAAGTCAGAAACTAAAGGTGTTGGTTACCTGCAGAAAGCGGGTGGGAAAGTGAGAGGTGAGGGGGGAGGGATCCTTCTCTGTGTACAGTTTTTTGCACAGATCTGACTCTTAGACAATAGCAATACTTCCATACTTCCCAAAATAAGCAAATAATTCAAAGCCACTGGATATGGGGAGGAACCCACAATGGGATACAAACACTAACAAATGAATTCGACTCAACTGCTAATAAATACGGTGACTACATTAAAGAGAAAAGTAGCTAATTTGAAAAACTGAAACAGTATTCTAATTGAATACTGCAAGGCTGAAGACACGGAACTGTGCATAAATGCTGTGATCTGGTTAGGAAAAGTGCTTCTCATAGCAATAGGGACTGGCAGTTCTGAAATTACATGATGTACATTCAAATGGATTATAGACTTTAAATTCAAATATGAACCCCAAAACTAAAACAACATGGGTTTAAGCTGCTTGGGTCAAATACATGGATATTTTTCAACCAAACATGATTTAAAAATACAGTATTCAAGGGATGCAAAACCCTCGGATAGGGAGGGCAGACTTTTTGTATTCATGAGTCTTGCAGGTCTAACTGGTACAATCTCCCAGTTGTATACCAAGGGACGACTGCAGTGGATTGAACAAATAAGTAAATATATTGTGGACAACAAGAGTCAGAGTCACAAGAAAAAGGACAAGTACAAAATGATCCTGCGACATTAGTTTAGAACCATAGGTATCAATATAAACTCATGGGTTTTGAACAAGGGAGGAAGAGAGAGAAGTGAGAGATAGAGATAGGTATGTGTGGCTGAGCATATGTTACGTAGCCCTCTCTGTTGTGAGAGTCTAAGAGCAACACACCACCCCAGTAACAACGAACACACCTGCAACACAGATCTTGGTCTTTACACGCCATCTAGTCAAAGGAAACAGGAATTTCAAAGAAGTGACTGACTCCTAAGCCATGTCATGAAAAACCACAAGGTGAGCCTGGAACATCCTGTGGTGCCAGAAAATAAGAAAATGTTAAAGAGAGAGAGAGAGAGAGACTGAGAGTGAGAGAGAGAATCTACAAAAGAACACAGGAATTAACTTGAAGGGGCTACAAGCTAAAACATCTGAGCAACAAAATAAAGATAGCATTGCGTTTAAGCTAGAATAAAATAAACAAAAGCATTGAATTTAAACTAGAATAAAGCAAATATTCACAATGATAAATAAGCAAACAAACCAAAAGCACATAAATAACGGTGAAGGAAAGACAGTTGTTCTTCACCATAGAATTCCAATGGATAAGTATAGAAAGAAGGAAAGAAACAGCATTGCCACGAGGCAAACATCACAGAATGGATGTTACAGACAAGACTCACCAATGGGTGCTAAAGTTAGTGGGTGAACATTGGAGGACAAGGAGGCTATGCTTAGTCTCCAAGTATCAACCCCAGATACTTAGCCACAGTGAGAAGCCCCCAGACACCACCTTAATCAAGTGATCAAAATAAATGTCATCGGTTAGAAGGTGTGGACATCGTGAGACCCTTGAGTGACACACTGCTAAAAATGAAGAACTTTTCTCTGTTTATAGAAAGGCATGAACAAACCCAAACTGAGGAACATTCCATAGTGGAGCTGATCAGAACAAAGCATAAAAGTCAAGGTCAATGACAAGGAAAGACCAAGGAACTGTTGTTACCAAGTGGAGAAGACTAAGGAGAAATAATAGCAAAAGGCTACGTAACAGCTAAATTTAGGATCCTGGATTAGAAACAGAAAAAGGACATTAGTGAGAAAAATAGGCTTAAAATGAACTGTAGTTCAGTTGATTCTATTGTACAATGTTAGTTTCCAGTTCTTGATAGTTGTACTGTGGTTAAATAAGGCGGTGACATCAGGGGATATGATAGGAAGGATATAAGAAAACTACATTGGGTGCACGTGGTGGCTCAAGCCTGTAATCCCAGCACTTTGGGAGGCTGAGGTGAGAGGTTTGCCTCAGCCCAGGGATTCGAGAACAGCCTGAGCAACTTGGTGAAACCTTATCTCTACAATAAATAAAAAAATTAGCCAGGCATGGTAGCACACACCTGTAGTTCCAGCTACTTGGAAGGCTGAGGCGGAAGGATCACCAGAGCCCAACAGGTCGACGCTGGGGTGGCTGTGAGTGCTACTGCACTCTGGCCTGGGTGACGGACAGAGTAAGATTCCAACTCAAAAAGAAACATGGCTATTGATGGCAGTCTAGCAGACTCATCCACCAGCAAGGACATGGGCTGAGAGGCTGCCTGGGGCCTGCTGACCCTCCAGATCACAGACACACTGTGTTTTGAACAGTGTCTCATTGAAACCTCACAAGAAGAGAGTGTTAGGAAGGCACTGTTTTCCACTGTAAAAAAAAAAAAAACAACCCATGCTATGACATGTGAGGTTGCCCCGCATAGTCAAGACCATCATGAATGTCACATGCATATTGATGTTTTACGTGTATTTTCTCAGTCCCTGGTACTGTCATCTCCCCAACCACCTGGGTTGGCTGCAAATATCTGCCTTCTACCTCTCCCACTGCTCCGGCCCAACACAGCCAGAATCTGCTTGTTCCCTAAGTCTTGCTGATCTCATTGCGTCATTTTCACAGACTAAATCAATGGGGTCGAGAGCATGATGTAGGATACGGTTAAATTATTCCTACAATGAAGGGGTAAATTCTTTCTTGAACAGTTTGTCGTGTAGACACAATTAAGGGGAAGAAATAGCTCACACAATTTTTTACATGCACTGTGAGGAGATTCATGGACCCTAGATGCATAAACTCGAGATTCGGAAGCTCTGATGCCCTATGCTTTAAAAAAAATTATGATTTTCCATGGTGGTAACGACACATAACCTAAAGTTCACCATCTGAACCATTTTTAAGTGTCCAGTCAGTAGCACTAAGTCCATTCACATTGTTGTGCAACCATTATCACCATCTATTATCAGAAGCCTTTAATCATGAAAACCTGAAACTCTGTACCTATTAAACACTGACACCCCTGCCCCTGGCAGCCACCATTCTACTTTCTCTCTCTATAAAGGTAATTCTCCTAGGTACCTCATTTAAGTGAACTCATACAGTATTTGTCCTTTTATGATAGACTTATTTCATTTAGCACAATGTCCTCAAGGTGCATCCAAATTGTAGTGTGTGTCCAAGTTTCCCTGCTCTTTAGGGCTGACTAATATTCTCTTGATGTACTGTCAGCCCTCTGCATACCTGTGGGTTCTGCAACTGTGGATGCAACCAACTGCGGATCAAAAATATTTTTAAAAAATTGCATCGGCATGGAACACGTGCAGACTGATTTTCTCATTATTATTCCCTAAACAGCACAGTATAACAACTACTTAAATAGTATTTGCATTGTGTAATATAAGTATGATGATGTAAAGTATTTGGGAGGATATGCATAGGTTACATGCAAATGCTATGCATTTTATGTCAGGGACTTGAGCAACCTCGGATTTTGGTGTCTGTGTGAGGTCCCAGAAACAATCCCCCATGAATACCAAGGGACGAATGTTTATGCCACATTTATATCCACTCATTGGTTAATAGACATTGGGTTGTTTCCATTCCTTGGCTACTGTGAATAATACTGCTGCAAACATGATAGCCTACTTTTATAATTACAAATTATTCACCAAGTTGTCAGAGTCTTACAATAACTCTGGGAAATTGGTATCATTATTACTTTTGATGATGAGAACACTGTGACATGAGTTTTTTGTATGAGGAGGACCCCCCCAAATCCTAGAATACACCTATTGAGACCCTTTTTCTACTGCTCAAAACCGTTTTGAACTCGTCAATTTTGATGCCTTTTAGTGCTTCTGCTTTTTGTTTTACCTCTTCCACGTCAAAACAATTCCCCTTGAGGACTTTTTTCATTGGAGGGAAAAAAAAGTTTCTCTGGGTGAGATTGGGTGAACAGGGAGGGTGGAGCACGGGGGTCATGCTGTTTTTAGCCAAAAACTGCTGAACACTCAGCATGGTATGGGCAGGTACATTGTCATGGTGGAGGAACCAATCACCTATTTGCCACAACTTGTGATGTTTCTTCCACAAACTGTGGTGCAACCTTCTCAAAACTTTCAGATAAAACTTTGAGTGGCTTTTGATCAAGATAAACAAATTCTGAGTGTATTACAAGGGGGCTGTCTTCCAAAAGATAATTCCGGGATTTTGGCGGGGTCCCCCTCACTTATATACATGTTTTCATCCACGGTTCCTGGACCATAACTCTCGTAGCCCTTGTTATAATGTTGGGCTCTTTAGGCCTCAGAAAAGAGAACCTCTCTCTCTGACCTTCTCTTGCCCTCCTTTAAACTGCTTCTTTTTCTCCTCAAAGCAGGAATCTTCTCCCATCTTTCTGTCTTGGAGCTGACCATAAAGAAATTCTCTGACCCACCTTGCATGATTGGAGGTCATGAGACCTCAATTTTAGAAGGATCCAGCCCTTTACCCTGGGGAAAGGAATACTGCACAGAGAGGCCAAGAAGAACCTGAACAGAGGCCTTGCTGGGCTTCCCCTCTAAATCTATTAGTATTGAATCATATCCTTTCTGTCCAATTCCATTTCTGCATGGTTGTCCATGCTTCCGTCATGCCTGTCCACTGATGTCTCCTTAAAAGGCCCAGGAGAATGGGGCACAATGAGTTTCCTGAGAGCTGAGGACAGAGGTTCCTGGAGCCTCCTCCTGGGAGGGCTTGGAGCTCCACGCCCCTTCCACGTGCCTTGTCCTGCCCGTCTCTTCATCTGGATCCTTTGTAATATCCAGTTAACCTGTGTTTCCCTGAGTTCTGTGAGCTGCTCCAGCATATTAATCAAACCCAAGGAGGGGGTCGTGGGTACCCATATTTGTAGCCAGTCGGTCAGAAGCACAGGTAAAACAACCTGGGGCTTCCGGTTGGCATCAGAAATGGGAGCAATCTTGTGGGTCTGGGCTTCAACTTGAGGGATTCAATGCCATCTCCAGGTGGGTAGTGTTGGGAGGGAGCTGGGATGGAGGACCCCTGTCGTCAGCTGCGAGACTGATTGCCTGCTTGTTGATGGGAGAAATCCATGGTTCCAGAAGACTTCTGTGTTGGTTGCTGTGGTGTGAGGGAAGAGGAAAAACAGTTTGTGTTTCGTCCTACACAGACAGAAGCTCAGAGTTTCACAGTTACTACATGGCCGAGCAGAGTCTTGAATGCAGGTTTTCCAAAGAAACAGTCCTTGATTTCACCTTTTCTGGCTAAACATGGGAGACCACGTCTACCTTTTATCTGCTGTTGGTAGGGAAAGAGATACTGCCCTCCTTGGTTTCCAAAATAATTTGAAACATTTTCAGCAGTCTAGAGTGAATACAGTTCTTTTCCCCACGAAATCTCTCCCACTCTGGGTGCTCTGAGGCCTGGGCTGAGAAGGCAAGGAGGGGGTATAACCCCCAAGTTCACAAGGATGGGGAGGTCAGAACCCCATGTCTGTCCAACTAGGTGTCCTTCTTCCACCAGATACTAGGGAATTTGATGCCCACAGAACCTGGGCTGGACAGGAGCTGGGGGTAGAGGGTCAGCCTGGGCTGGGAGTCAGTGAGGACAGTACTGGTTTCTGGGGAACTGGTACCCCACACTGCCCTACTGAGCTGGGCCTGTAAGTAGAGCTGTTCCCAGGCTCTGCTGAAAGGCGCCCAAACATTAACTGCCTATAATTTTGACATGTCAGATATTTAATAAGGAACAAATTAGCACTTGGGTCTTTTTTTTTTTTTTCCTGAGACAATCCAATTTCTATGCCAGGCACCAACTTCTATATTTCAAAATGCATTTTTGAAGGTTAATTAGAGAAGCAGCAGAGATAGTGTTTTCCAAGAGGGATTTTTCTCGTTCCTTCCAGGTCTGTGGATGGCAGAAAAAATAACTTTCAGACACTGTAAATTGAGTATGTGAAGCTGTGAGAGTAAACCCATCTCATTAGTCATTGTGTCAATTATAGTATCCAAGGAACAATTTTGTAGCAATAGCATATTTATTTGATGTTTCGAAAGCTACCTGGACCCACTGTTAGGAAGTATTTGCTCTTAATGCTCCGAGTACCTCTTTAACAAAATGGCACTCCATAAAAATTTAGTGTGTTCCTACTGTAATTAAATGGCCCTAGTCATTTTTGCATTTATGATATAAACTATAATGGCTGTAAAATCCTGCAATTAACTTTCCTTGCGCCAACATTTCATACTTGAGAAATTCTCATTACAAATTTCATTACTGATTCACTTATCTGTAATTTGTCCTATGTAACCTAAAGAATATTAACAAATTTAGAGTCACTTTTGCTCTATTAAAAACGAAATATAAAAGTCTTTCAACTAGCGAGTCAATCACGAGATTTCGAAAGCCCCTCCCACCACATGGGTCAAGTGTGTGGTGAGGATGGAGAAGGAAGGAGATTATCTGACAGAAGAGTGGAGTGAATGTGGGGAACAAGTGGGTGCCAGTGAACCCACTGGCCTTCTCAGCAACCAGGCACAGATGCACTTGACGGAGTCACAGGGAAGGCGAACAGAGCCTGTGAAGAAAGGACAGGGGAAGTCCATGCAGGGCGGGGTTTCATACCCAGAGGCCCGCGCTTCCTGTCACTTCCTTGTGGGTGCTCATCCCTAGTGCTCCTTTCTCTCTAGGGGGCTGGGGTTGGCGGGAGAGATGCCTGCGGGGTCGTAACTGGATCTTTTGCTGGGCTGCTGTGGCAGAAAGTCTATCCAAAAGACTTTACTGTTACCAATGGCAGAGGCAAGACGGAAAAGGAGTTCAACTGAGAAGGTCCCCATGGGAGGCGATACTTGCTTTTCAAGTTTCCATCTCCCCAGGTGTAGATTGGCTTATGGGGAAATTTGGAGACACTTTACCCCTTCTTTAAACCTCCTCTCCCATCACATTTAGGGCAGAAACAAATATACATCCACATTAAAATGGAATGAACGTTCATAGACCTAGTATCAGGGGCCTTGAATTCTCAACCTCATACTGTCATGACCTTGCTGGTGACTGCAGCAAGTTTTGTAACCCGTCCGGGCCCCAGTTGCTAGACTGGAAAAAGAAGGAGTTTCACTTGAATGACCACTGCGACACTCTGTGTTCTTCCAAAGAGTCTATTTCTTGGTAGAGAAAACCAAGAGCTTCTCTTTACCCAGTAAATGGGTGACACGGGGCGCCCTGCCAGCACGGGGTTTCCATCACAGTGATCTCCACGAGGAACAGCCTGCATAAATATTTTCCCCAATAACATCCCATCTCAGCAATTCCCAGCCTTCCATAACTGCATTCATTTTATTCTAATTTGTAATTAACTTTTACAAAATTAAGTTGGAGATAGAAAATTACTGTCCCGACATAAATAATCCTACTGCTGGATGTGACAGTGTTAACGCAATCAACAATACGATTCATAAATGAAAGAAATGTTGTCATACTTATTACTTCTGTGTGCTCCATCTTTTAGAGAATATTACAGTGTAAATTGAAATTTTATATGATTTAATAAACCTCAAAAAGATATTATGGCCAAGTAACCACATAACTGTAACAAATTGTCCTCCTCCCTCATTACAGAGCTTTCTCCTCACGTGGAGCTCTCGGCCTCATTATCAGAACGGTGTCTTTGACAACCCAGAGCCCATTAAAGACACCTTGAAGAAAGCACATCCCACACCACGGAGCTTCAAAATCTATACAGGGCTGGAATCCTTGAGGATGGTGTCGTAAAATGAGGAAACGGTTCCTTTCATTTTTCATCCTGAGACTCGGCCAACAAACATGTTATCTGGCCCCATAAACACCCCCACGCCTCCGTGTGACCGAAGCCAAGGTCTGCATCACCATGACAGAGTTCGGACTCAAACAGTGGAAACAGCAGCGGATGAAGGGGTTTATGACTCCTCCAAATCTTTAGCTGGCTTTATGGGGTTCCCAATATAAAGTTTCTTTGTTTTCAGAGCACCAGGTCTCCGTTTTGTGGCTGACTGCTGTTTTTCAAGGGTTTCTGGTTCACCCAGATTCATTAGGGTGGGAGGGAAAAGAGCAGGGGACAGAATAGATCAGAGGGCAAGCGACCCCCCACTGCCTGTCTCTTCCTGCTGCTGGATCCCGTGCCTCACCCCAAGCCCCCTGTATTCCAGTTTGGAGGGAGAAGGCTAGAGATATGCGTGCTCTCTAATCACACGTGGTGTTTCCCTTGGAGTCTGGTGTGATTTCTGTAGCTTCCAGCAATGTGTGGGACACACTTGCACTGAAGAATTTAATGACTTGTTTTACTGCTGCCTGCCATCAATATTTATCTATATTAACTGAAGAAAGGCATTACTCGAAATGGCGTTTCACACCTCTGAGCATTATACAGTAATTCTAAAGTCATACGTTGTACCCAATTCTATGGGCCAACACGAGATACAGCATGGATGGAAATAACCCAGCTTGAAGTTTTTCAACTTGAATTGTCTGCAGCAATCTGAAAAACCAAAGTCAAGATGATTCGAATTGCTATAGCTGGGAATGTTAGGATAAAAAGCAACGGGAACAATCATTCCTTGGCTTGGTTTTTCTTGAATTGACCAAAGTGTATTTCAAGTATATTTAAGAGAAAAGAAAAACGGAGACAAGGATGTGAGACTGCGCAGATGGGTACCATGCTTCTTTCCACCTCAATCATTTGGGCAAGGACGACTGGGTCAGCCCTGCTGTCGCCCTTCTCTGGTGGTCGGTTTTCCCACTCTGTTTCCTCTGGCTGGTGAGCCCTTCTCTGACCACACTAGACCACTTTTCCTGGCTTGTGCTTCTTCAGCGCACTTATCTGAAAGACTATCTCACATGCTGGTTTGTGTATTTGCTTACTGCCTCCCCCCACCCCTGGCATGGAAGCCCCTGAGGGCAGAAACAAGCCTGGATTCACTATTCTTAGTTATTTTTAACTTTTCTTTTTAGATTCAAGGGGTACATGTGCAGGCTGGTTACTATTGAGCCCATCACCCAGACAGTGGACATGGTACCAAGTGGGTATTTTCAATCTTAACATATCTACCCACCTACCTCCCTCCTATATGAGTGCCCCAGTGTCTGCTGTTCCCACCCTTGTGCCCATGTGTCTTCAGTGTTTCGCTCTTGCTTATTAGGGAGATCATGTAGTATTCAGTTTTCTGTCTCTGTGGTCATTCGCTCAGGATGATGGTCTCCAGCTGCATCCATGTTGCTTCAGAGGACATGACTTTGCTCTTTTTTTATGGCTGCATAGTATTCTATTCACACAGTATACTGTATATATGTACCACATTTCTCTCATCCAGTCCACCACTGACGGACACCTAGGTTGGTTCTATGTTTTGCTACTGTGAGTAGTACTTCAATAAACATGTGCACACAGGTGTCTCTTAGGTAGAGGGTATTCTTTATCCCACACAGATCACAGGCCTGGTACATGGCGGGAGTCACTTTTCATTTGCAGAATGAATTAGCCACACGTGGAGAACATGAGCTTAAACTCAGCAGCATTTCTAGTGTCTACGTAGACCACATCATTTTTTGAGCTAACAGCTTTAAAGGGATCATTTGAACATCTTACACTCAAGCTTTACTTAATACTAGTGTTTTCAAGTGTGAAAGGAACCTGGAGACCAGAGGAGCCAACTTCAGCTTTACAGAGGAGCAAGCCTGGTCTCAGAGGGATCAAGAGAATGGCCCAAGGTTGCTAAGCGCTGGGCAGCAACAGAAGCAGCTCCAGTACTCGGGCTTCCTCAGCCTGACAGCTCAGGACTCCCTCTCATAGCCTGGATTCTGTCTCCAAAGGTATGCTCTGCAGACAACTGCTCCTAGAACAGCTTGACTTTCACCTTCTGGTTGGAAATACTCTTCCTATAATTTTCCCATCTTCAGAAATTATGTTTATGGGACATCTGGGCAAGAGAATTAGTCCTCAATTCATAATAGATAAGGTTTACATTTTTAATAACAGAATTTGAACTTCAGGGAAACTTTATAACTGCACTATTAACCCGCTGCACTTAGATTTTATATTAATCCTAGATTACTTGCCTGGTGACTTCACACACTTTGGAAGAAACATGAGACTTGGAAATAGGAAGAGTGAACAGAAGGACACGAGTCCAGTCTGATGCCCAGTGTTTCTGAAATTGTAAAATCCTGCTGTTATTTGATGGATTCTGTGAAACAGGACTGATGCATTGCCTATTTTCTTTAAAAAAAATTAAATGGAACTAATTTCTTTTTGTTTTAAGGCTTGGAAGCATTCTTTGAGTTAATCAGAGATGCCTAGGAGTATGAACTGCAAGGCTAATAATCACTGAGTTAAGAAAACCAGTAGGGAAGACCTTCTATACATCAGCCCACATTCAGGCATGATGTCCAGTATGACTTACAATGTGATTTGTTTCCCGTAAATAGATGGGGGTAGATTTTAAAGTGATCAAGAAGAAGAAAAGGCATCTGGAAAATACCGATTCATACTGCTGTTTGCAGAAAACAAGGGAAGGGTATGTCTAATGTCCTAGGCATTACTACTCAGGGCAAATAAAATTGTCTACTAAAGTCAAGTATCTTTGCTCGAAATGTCATCTGCTTATCAACAGTTCTGAATAAAATTAATAGCAAAAGTAACGAAAAGCATGGTTCATAATATGGGGCAGAACCCCTGGAAAAGAGGAAATACATAAAGCTTGCTTTCAACAGCCATTCAACCTCAAATCAATACTCCATTTTCTTAGTGATTAATTCAAAACGAGCATCCAGCACTTAACATTGTAACTGATGTATTATCTCAATCTTTTATTTACTCTCCATACTTCCAAAGCAGGATAATTTTATTGTCAGTTGATCATCTTATTGATATTCCTCATGTTATGGTCAGTGGAACATGCACAGATGAAGAAACAGTATTAGGTATCTCAAAATCAGGATACAGAAATATTTTCTTCATTCTTTCAGGCTAACAAGCAGTGACAGGTATTCAAAGAATCAAACTGTCAACACCATGACTCCCACTGTCGTCTGCATCATAATCTGTTTCTTAGTAACACTTGGTCTGAGCAGCAGTAATAGAATTAATTATACTTCATTTTGCTGCCTTTAACAGTATTGACCAAATTTAAGAACAAATGAGAAGTGCTTATCAAGCTTGAAGAAAATAATCCATCAGTGGCACAATTTAAATTCTCTGCAGTTCTCTTATTAATCAAAGTAACACTTACTATCCTATCTCCACTTCCCATTAACAGTCATTAAGCCCTGCTGCTGATTGAAGCAATTTCTTTAGGGATCTCAACCTCATTTTTAAGAGAATCTTCTTCAGTGCAAAACAATATCATATAATCGTGGTGACTTAAAAGAGAGGAGGAAGATTCTTCAATCATGTTCTGACCTTGGTCTTTTTCACGTAAGTTCTCAAAAGTATACAACAGTTAGACTGGAAACTTCAGAGAGTGAACGGGCTGCCCTTGTCTTGTCACCTAAAGGAGGCAACAGTCCAATAAGCAACGCATAGACTTGGGGCAAAACCTTAACCAGTCCCTCCAAACCACCACTTGTTATTATTCTTTCACTCACAGAATCAGATGCCAATCAGAAGCAGTGAGCACGTCGAGAAGTGTTTACCTAGGATACTTTGTCTTGACTTATGACTCTGGGTAGGCACATAGTGGAGAAACAGGAGCAAGAGGTCTGTAGCCAGAAGACTTGAACTTGAGGCGGTTCTCAACACTGCTAACCCATGGGAACTTGAAAAACCTGTCTTGTTTTTCTGTCTCAATTTTTCTCTGAGATGGAAATAATACCATCCACTCTGCTTACCTCTCCAAATTGTTGTGGAAAGCACATAAGAAAACGTATGTGAAAGCCCTTTGTAATTGTTAAACATGATACAAATTTAACTGTTCTAGACCTAGAAGTCATGGGCAGTGTTTTATTCAGCTTATCTCCATGTCCTTGCCCAATGCGGGTACATAAAATTGTTGAATCAATGCTACAGAAGTCCTGTTTCTAAAAATGAGGATAAGTCATGTGATTAAAATGAAGTGATAATCTTATACAAAAAACATCTGTTATATATGTGGAGTGGAAGAAGCCATGAACTTACACATGACGGGTCATGTCTTTGGGGCTAAAAAGAGTTCTGTAGTCAGTACAATTTTGCCCCTGGGGATTTAGCATCAGCACCACTGACAGCAGCTTCAGTAGCCAAGCTGCTAATAGACAAGTCACCAAGTTGAGTGCAAAGTAATCATGAGTCAGAATGGGAGAGGGGCTGGGTGTGGCGACCCCCAGTTGCCTGCACCCCCAGTTTGTTGTGTTGTGTAGAGGCAACTAATATTCTAGAGCCTCACTTCACAATTCCTAGGAAACCAATATTTCCTTTTAATTATTCATTGAAATTTACTATAATCCTAATGTTTACAAAAGCCAAACACAGCAGGGCACTAGCTATACAATGTTAAGGTGATAACACCCAGTACTCATTCTGCTCAATCTTATCAGTAAGGAAACAGGCCTGGAGAGGTCCAGTGGCTGGCCCAAGGTCACCCTGCTGGGCACTATTGACCTTCTTTAGTTCATTCTGCAGCGACCTTACAAATTTGAGTGGCCTTCTGAGGTCCATCGCAAAGCTCTTCTCTTTTCCCCAGAGGAAGCTGTATACCGCTGAAGGAGACCTGAAGAGCCCTCCCAGGGAAGAGTTCAGCCCTCCTGTCCCCTTCTTATGTCTATGCTTGAAACACAGAGCCCTTTGCATTTGGTTGGCTCAAAGATAGTTTCTGAGATTGGACAGCCCAGATAGACCCGTTATTTTCTTCTAATGGTCAAAGTCCCAGGAAAGATAAATCAAGACCTGGACCTGAATTTGCTTGGTCAGCATAGACATGGAGACACTTTTCAATAGGTTATTGGGCCTGATGCATACAGACGATCACATAATCAAT